CCCCCCCCCCGCCCCCACCAACTAGGAAAAGTCAGGACTGGGTTGCTTTGGATGAATCAAGTTCAGCCAACAAATGAGGCAGCCATTTGTTCACTCAGATCTATCCAAGGTAACTTGTACATTGCACCTTGAAATTCTTCAAGTGTCTGTCAACAATGATAGCTAGAATCAGTGCCCAGCTCATGCTGCATTCTAAGAACTCTCGTTTCATTTGCATATAACCTTCATTACAGGAAGTAATTAGCTGAAGGAACAGCATCATCAAAGGCTCAAGGAGGAGAGAAAGTAAGTGTAACTTGTCCACCTCCATTCAGTTTAGATTGTGGTTTGTGGTTCCTTTTGTTTTTGTTTAAAGGAAGTCTTACTCTGTTCCCAAACCAAGAATGTATGGACTAAAAAGAATATATCCAAAACCTAAAAGGCAGCCTTGCAAGTGGCTGTGGCCCATAACACACACACAAAAAGGGCTACTTTTTGCCATTTATGTTCCACTGTGTGACTGACTTTACATTAACTATGTTGGGGGAGAGTGTAGGAACTCGGGGGAAATGAGATGCTGACGGAGCCCCCAGAGCAATCATTGTGACTGCCCCCCACACAAGCTTATAGGCACTAACTATTCTTGTCAGTTCAATTTTCTAAGCAGAGCAAGAAAAGTAATTCATTTGATTTTCATGTGTCTGGTTTTGGGGAGGTTGGGGGAGAAAAACAGTCAACGCATTGAACAAACACTGGCTGACCAATAATGGAGGGTTAATGGTCCACATTCCCGAGAAGGGAAAAGAAAAGTCAAATGAAATTGTAGCCTGATTCCTGGACCCCTTCCTCCTTCACTGCCACCCCCCCAACCCAACAGATTCATTGGCCAACATCCTGGATGATGCAGAAACTGCCCTAGAGACAAGCAGATCTTGATTTTGATAGGTCACATTGCTCACCAATGAGAAGCAAGCTCTTAGCTCCACTACCCACACTCCTGCAGACAGAGCAGCTGAAAAACTACACTGAGAGCTGAGAAGACTTGGGCCTCTCATTCAGAGGTCTTAAGCCTAGGCCCTTGGTTGGTACAGGTCTGAATTCTAGACTTCTAAGTGCAGGCCAAGCTCATCAACTTCTTTGCAATGAGCACTGCCCCCTAACTTAGAGGCCACTTAAAATAATAAACAGTGAGAACCCAGTTGCTTTTGAAAGCATTCAAACTATTTGAAGGTCCAGATCAAATTTCAGGGGTTTTGCCTGAAATAAAATAGATTCATTCCTGGCCTGAATTTATATCTGAATGCCACACTTGTCTGCCCCAGACTCAGAATTCCAAAAGACAGAAACATTTTTCCTCTGCAGGGAAATGAAGGGGTGTTCATGCTTTGGCCTAACAAAAGTGAAAGGCTGCCAGGGCCTTCTCATTGGGAACCACTTTGAACAGCTGAGCTCTGAAGCCAAATAAGAGACTCATATAGTACAGGATGTGTTACTTCTACTGGTTTTTCTGGAAGCTTCTTGTTTGCTACTTCTAGTGGGTTTCACCTTTCTGTCCCTGGGTGGTTTTCCCAAAAGATTCTAAAGCTGAATGCCCAGACACTTTTATGTTTTGCCGTTACCTTGAGTCTTGCTTTCCTCTACAATAGTCTGTATACCTGGAATTTTTGTAACATCTTCTGCATCATTACTATGGCCTTCAAATACCCAGTGGTGTTTCCATTAGCACAAGAGGATTTGGGGCAGAGATTTTATGGTCAGAGGTAACATTGAGGGCAAGAAATATTCCTTTAATATTTTGCAACAGGTGGACCTAATCCCAGGCAAACAACCAAACTGTAGAATTTGTTAGTCACTGATGACTATAACACCAAACATCTTTCCTACTCCTAACCCTCAACCTCTCTCGTCCCCATGATTATAACACCAACTCTCCCACCGAGGCACACAGCACAATGTTTGCTGTCCTCTGTACCGACTCTGTTAAGACCAGAGAAGAGAGGCTGACAGCCCCTCCATGTAGGCTTTCAGAGACCTAGTACCGCCACGGTTACTAGTGCAAATAATAATGATCACAATTTTTGAGCATGGAATACAGAAGGGGTTCAAGTAAAATGAAGTTTGCCACAGGACGTCAGCTTCCAATTCAAGTTGTTTCTATCCTTTTGTTTGCTCTGATTCCAACCGATAGCCACAGGTAGTTCTGCTGGACTAACCTCAGTGTAGTCATGAGTAGAGGGAGTCATCCCCAGGAGAGGTCAATGGGTAGAAAAGAGTGATTTACTCTTGGTGGGTATTCATTACGTATTTGTGGTTCAAATGTCAAGAGTAGAGAGCAAGCCATTCTTGGTAGAGCAGGAAGCCTCGCTGGTATCTCCTCTCCTTTGTCTGCCTCATCTCTCACCTAAGCCTCCCACCTGGCCCCAACTTGTCCCTCAGCCCTGACTCCTGTGAACTGCATCCCTAACCTACAGCTTACCCTTTAAGGAGGCAAGACCACAAACAGCGAAATAGTTCGTGTTAGCCTAATGACCTCAAATAGACCAATTGGTCTGAAGGCATCACCTTGAATGTGCAAAGACTAGAGAAGATTCTATAAAGGCTTACAACAAGCATTTCACTGGACATCCATTTTAAATCTCTAGACAACACGGATCAGATTGTGATCCTGCAGTACCTATCTGTCTGAGCAGATGTGTCTGTGCACCTGCCCTCTTCCTGATAAACAAACTATTCCTTAAAAAATTGAGTTTGTGGCCAGTGCTCTTGCTCCTCACCAGTGCAGCCTTCCATCATCACCAAGTCTGTAACACAATAGTAGGCTTTCACTTTAATCTGATTTTCCAGGGCCAGGACTAGAGTGAGGTGAACGAAGCGCCCACTCTCAGGGCCGCACAAGTGCCTTACCCTCGTCTCAGCCCTGCGCTTTGCACTCTATGAATATCAGTTTATCTTCTTCCTGTGAATAAGTGTGGTTCCTCTGATAAATCCCTGTTGTTGCACCAAATGTTTTATTGCCATCTCTTTTTTCCATTGCTATAAGCCTTTGTATGCTTATACATCTAAGAATAGACAATATTATCAGAAAACATGGTTGATTTCTAAGCAACCTGCTCCAAGTGGCAAGTTAGCACCCATTTTCAGTAGGGATGCAGACGGAGACAGCCCTTCAGCACGATAGTGAATGGGCTGGAGGTATGCCATTGGGATGGATCTTCATTCTCCTCTTTCTGCTCCATTTTCCCCAGACCTTGCTTCCCAGCCCCAACTCTCCTGAGTGCCTCCTAGTTTGTTCTCTTTACTAAGAAAAACATGCTCTCAGGAAAGGGATAAAGTCCTTTAACATCATAAGGCTTAATGCTACCTTTTCTGAGGGTCGCTTGCATTATAACAGGGGAAAAGCCTTAAGCCAAAGGAATTGAAGTTCTGCCTGTAGAATTCTAGGCCTCTATTAGCTGCAAAGTGTATTTTTCACCACAGAAAGGCCAAATTCCCTGAAAGCTAACTCCAGAACATAGAAAATACCTTAATCTCCTGGAATTATTGTATTAAATTGCTGGTGGTTGATTAAATAGTCCTGATACCCCATGCTGTTCTATTGGACAAGGGACCAAGGGACCACATCTACCAAGAGACTCTCAGAAATGGCTACTGAAAGCCACTGAGAAGGCCAAGATCATATTGTACATTAACATTTTTACACAAATGGAATTAATACTAGTCATTTTAGTAAAAGAACACAAGGACTTAGAGTTTGTGAAAATGTGTCCTGTTTGTGAAAGGTGAAACTGTCTGATCAATGTCTGATCCATATTGGTCTCTTGGTGGTGGTGGTAATTATTAAACTTGCTAGAGGTACAACTTTACTAAACACAAGCCTCTGCTTCCCCTGCCCTTATTTATGTTTTGTGCTATCACTTCAGCTTGGTGTGAGAGAGACCAGATCTATACCAGAGCATCCAGTCCCTCCAAAGTCTTTGCTCGTATTTTAGCTATAAGTCACCAAGGTATTAGGGATTTAAAACGACAAGAGTGGGAAGAGCTGCCTTAGTCAAAGAGCAGCAAAAATGAAAATTTAAACAATGACATGGAATAAAGTTTTAGAATATTCTGACACAGATTTATATAGGAATATGGCAGTAAACAGTTATAGCCAAATATTTGAGGTGCTTTTCATAAGTTTAGCAAAAATTAATTTGCATAAGTAATGGATTGTGTGAAATAGGAATATACATTTGTTCAGTAAAAGCCCAAAATCAAAGCCAGTGGTTCTCAAAGTGTCATCCCAGAAACAGCAGCAGCAGCAGCCCTAGAGTGTGTGTGTGTGTGTGTGTGTGTGTGTGTGTGTGTGTGTGTTC